CAAACTTACAGTGTATTTGTATATCAATTAAATGAATAATCAAATAACAAAGTTAAGATTAAGAATTACATCATCAAAGCCATTTTATAAACTCTGATTTCACAATAGCTATTAAAAATTAAAATTAAAAATAATTAAATGCATAATGAACATGATAGTTTTAAATTAGGTTACCGGAGCGAAAGGACGATACCGCGACCGAACGTCACTGAGCATTGTATGTTCTTTACCCATGCTGAAAACTATCGAGTATCCTCCACTCGCCCCGACGCCCTTTACTGAAACAACTATATAATAAGAGATAATAATAAAATAAARTTGCACTACAAACCTCAAGTGTCTCAAACCTTTCACAGTGAAATCGTAACCAGTTTTGATTTTACACTTTTTCTTTCATTCATGCTAATTATTTCTAAAATATAAATCGCTTATGTCCACTGCAAGCTACCAATGTGTCAGTACTACTATATAAGGGAGTTATCAATATTTACTGGGGTTAAGGCCACTAAAYTTGCATCGAACCCTGTTGAGAAAATAGAGGCCCTCCCTTGTAAGACAAGTAAAAAAATGTGGCCCTCCTTTGCATCGGGTATAAAAATTCTTATTCAGGGTTCGTTGTACTCCTTGCATGAAAAGCCYTGGAAATGAAAGGCTTTTATWAAGGGCATAAAAGACCTTGGAAAACAGAAAAATACTGCTGGAATACTCACTCCTTTTAAGTTCTTTTTATCGTATTAAATTTGTGCAAAACGATCGTTTATGATAGATGTTTGGTGATCCATTGTTTGGTGTAATATCGTATGCTTATACTGAATCAATTTTAACCATTTTCTGTGGAGTCAGCGATCTTAGTTCAGAATGCTCCAATTTCACTTTATTACTCATAAGTTTTCGTTTTCGCAGCATGTTGTAGCTGTTTTTTTGGATCTTCTTTTTCGTGCTCTCTTAAAATTCCAGCACGGCCGAAAAAAAGTTCCTGCAAGGCAACATTTTGAAAAATCTACACTAAAGCTTTTTGATAAGAGTTTTAAAGATAAACACAAGAAGCCTTATTCTTATTTATTTTTCTCAGTCAAAATTTGTGACCCTCCACTAAAGCTCATTTGAAAAAATTCAACCCTCCCCAAACACACATCCAAAAAAATGTGGCTCTCCCCACAAATTTAGTGGCCCTCCCCCCCAATAAATAATGATAACTCCCTAACTAAGATATACGAATTCTACTGTTACAAAGATGCTAGAGATTGCACTGAACTCTAAGATTGCAACCATTTAGATTATCATGGAAAAATCTAAGTATTTTCCCCCAAGAATCTTTTTGAGCAAAACAATGCTTCTCAGCCTCCCCTCCCCAATGAATAAACATTCTATAAGTCTTGTGATAAGAGTTCTTGCAGTGAGGTGTGTACGGTGGTTCAATMAGATGGCCGGCACCATGATAACAGGCTTGTATGCATTGCCCTTGCTTCTTATATTCCTCCAATCTCTTCATTATCAATTCGGCCATGCGCAGTGAGTCCCAGTTACCGTCGGCATCACCATAGACTAACATGATCGGACATTGGATTTTCTCTACATTAATCGTTGCTGGATGCCAAAYATTGCCATTGGAGACTCGATCGGGATACGCCAGACTGAATTCTACGCCACCTTCCGCTGACAATTTCGTCATCTCAGGCTCAAATTTGATAAAAGGTGAAGGCTTGCCTCGTATATTCAGCGGTACAGCGATGGTGGCATGGGCAGGAGAGACGGCCACAATGGCTCGTACAAGTTGAGGCTGGTAGGACGCCAGGGTAAGGACGAGCTCTGCACCCTTTGACACGCCCATCAATCCAACACCCCCAGATTGCACCGCGGGATGACAGCTGAACCACTGCAACGCCTCCTCAAAGTACTCCAGACTGCTATCAGTTATAGCTTTGGGTAGATCATCGAAGTCGAAGAAAGCCAAAGCCAGTACAGCATAACCGCGTGATGCCAAGAGAGAAGCTTTGAACTCGACGATGCCTCCWGCCGTTCCAAACACATCGATCACACCTAAAGAGAAGTTACTGTTAGGTTAGTTTTCATTAGGGTCTAGTGCTAACAAAAGGGTTGTKATACTGTATATGGGATCARGAATCAGCGTTATTTAGAGATCAAAATCAAAGACAAATCCAGGCTTCGTGCTACATTTTCAWTACAAAATTCCTGCCCGTTTCACTAGTACTTTTAAGACATAAAAATTAGACTTTCATTTATCATTTATTTCGTTGATTAAAACTGTGTAGGATGCCACATATAAAGGACTGATGTTCAATTCTTCAGGACTTCATCGCAAAACCAGCAATTGATCTTAGTTTTGAACTGATGAATAAAATATCAGTCGACTCATCTCAGGAACACAACAGAGTCGTGACATTGGGATGTGAGATCAGGTATCTGAGTTATCTTTGGAATCAGGGATAAGAAGTTTTGTCAGCTTGGATCGGGATCGCAASTACGGGGTTCGCCTTGAAAAKTTTGCAAATATAAATKTTTGGTAAATATATAAAAATTGCAGGCAGAATTTATGTTTATAGTAATTAAGTTTTTTTGTCTCTGGCTTTAGATACCCAATAATTTTAATYAGACAACTTTGTTCCGTCGTGCATTAAAGAATCATAACCAACCGCCGTACATTGCGCTCTCGTATTATTGTTTACATACGTTTAAATGCGTCAAGCATACAATACAATAAACAATACAATAAACTGGGCGCGCACATAGGCTTCCTATGGCGACGTAATGTGCTATCTTAAAATAGCAACTTACAATCAATGTGAATACGTTGAGATCATTTTGAATTCATTATATATTGAGTACTCAACTGTTAAAATTCTTAACTGTGTTATCAAAAATGTTCAGTATGAACATGGCGTTCACTTCAGTAGCATCTGCTTTCTTCGTCTCAACATTCATCCAGTCAGTTTTTATGCCAGTCTTTGCAGTTTTGTCAGTTGTATTGTATTTTTGATTGATATTTTGCTCTCGTAATAACCAGTAAGAACTTTGCTGTCATCAGATTCGTGGACCGACCCGTTCTGAAAATTACGCTGARCATCTTTTAGTGTGGGCCTACCACGAACGGCGTGTGGATTTGTGTGCGAGATCAGCGWTAAGGTGTTTCGATCGTAATAAATAGCGCGTTTGAGTTTGAGTGCAATTGAATCGAAATTTGCGACGTAGTTGGAGTTTAAAAATACGCGTGAAACGCTATTTATTACGATCGAAACGCCTTAAAGTCTTGAAGAATTGCTTCATTTCTTTGTAAATACTCCTTCCTTTGCTTACTCGAGTCACGAACTGAACTCTTCTACAATCCTCTCGTACTATCGTACAGGGACGGATTGGTTTATTTTGACAYTGACACTTGAACGAACTTGAACACAGTCGTCAAGGGAGTAACTATTCCCCAGGCRTTCCGATTTGCGCTCACTTTTAGAAATCCTACGAATCCGCCATTTTCGTGTCCACCTAAAATGGCGCTTCGGCTCGCAAGGTACGGCGGATGGTTATGATTCTTTAAGTATTCCATCAATATCTTATGACTGTAAACTTTTACGTTTTTAATTAAAATTGCACTCTCACCAATAATACAGTTAATTTTACAAAATAAAAGAGTCCTGTAAAATAATTAAAATCGCATGCATGTTATTATCCTCAGAGAATGTATTAGACGAAAGGTCGCTTTCCATTTTAGAAAGAAAAATAGAACATGAATATTTTTAAGTTAAAGAAAGAAAGAAAGAAAGAAAAATTGTTTAGAACCTGATCGTCAGTTCAACGCCGCTATTCAAACATGATCTTGCGTGTAAAATAAGTAAAAAAATACCTATAGAAAAAAGTAGTAAACATGACTAGAATAAGTATACATAAGTAAAAAAAAAGGAAAGAAAAAAGAATTGTTTAGAAGCGATCGAGTCGAGAATCGAGGCCGCGATCCTAAGTTCGACGCTAAGGCACTTGGACATAAGATTATTGCTATGATAAACTGCTCTCGTTTAGAGTGATCACACTTTAACCGTGCAAGTGTACAAACTAAATAGTGCTATTTTTATTAAAATCAAAATAATGTCTCGAAAATAATTACCAAACAAAATCTACCGAAAAAAAATCAAGATGACTATATACAACTATATTATATTTTTAAAAAGAAAGAAAGAAAAAAACAAAGTGCTTAAATGAGATGTGAACCCGTGATCCTCTTTTCGACGCTGCTGTTCGAGTATCATCTTGTTTCTAAAATGTAACAAACGGCTCGTAAATATTAACAAAACAAATAGGCATTATGGCGCAACTTTACTACATACATCTTACCAACTTCGTTTGCTCGTATTTCTGTTAAAAAGCATTATTTTGGCTCAAAATTTCGCGATAATACTTTAATTTAGATGTTCTATCGAGGACAATAATAATATTTCGCTAATTTGGCCTCTAAATAGCATTTTTAGAATATCGCGTGATTATGAGCTTGGGCTACCTGTGGACAATTTGTGACTGATAAGCGACCATAAATAAGAAGCCCGAAATTTAAACTCGGCGGTTCCACAGGAACCCCGAGTAATAAGATTTTTAATCCCCTTGAAGACTAATAAAACAATTGACACTAATTGCATTACAAAAGAAAGTTGGCAAAGCATTCTGGTAGTTGTAGTAAATGACGCCATAATGCAAATCGGCTATTGCTATGATAAAAATCAATAAAAACATAACTAGAACAACTATATTTCAGTTACATGTAAAAAGAGAAAGAAAGAAAGAAAGAAAAAAGAAATAATTTTTCAGACGTGCTCGAGTCGAGGATCGAACCTGGGAACGATGGATCATGTGTCCCTTAGGATTGCTAAACTGCAACGTGGAAAAAAATAAATAAATAAAGTCGCAGCATTTTTATAACCGTGCCCAGGCTTCGGCCTGGACACGGTAAAAATCTTCTTGTTCGAATTTGGAACTCTTGTCTACTTGTCTACACAAGACACATCTAAAGCTGCAAACGTCATTGATTCATTACGCAAGCATACTACTCGAAGCAGCTAATGCTCAGAAATGCATTCCGATGGAAAATGGGAAAACTTTTATAATTTATTCTTTTTGCTATTATTATTGTAAACATGTTTATGAGAAAATGGTAATAAAAACATGAATAACAATAATATAATCATATGAAAAAGTAGCTGGTGATAATAAGATATGTAAAATCAAAACTATCTAAAAATATTACAAAATTCCAAAAGAACGAAACATGAAATAAAATAAGTAAATTACAAATTACAATAATAATAATAATAAATTATTTTAAATAATAATATTTAAAATAAAATAGGTCATAGTCTAGTAGCCAATCAGAATGCTGGATTGGTGATAGTTTATATTAGGGCATCATAATCACCCGGTGAATAATTTTCATCGCATTTATGATAATTATGCTATTACTAGTAAAAATGCTTAGGCAGAAAAACATTGTAAATCAGCCGATAAAATATTGAATGTAGCGTACCTGGGAAAGGTCCATCTCCTGGCGGTAGGAATAGTGTACCACGTATTCGTGCTGTTTTGATAGGAAATCTAAGTACGCCCGGTCCCATGAAATGCCTTCTAAAAGTAGTGCATGCTATTGTTTTTGTGAGATTATCGTGTCCTTCGAAGACATCTAACTGGACGATGTAGGGCTTGCATACATTCTTTTTGACAAGCCTTAAGCCCGTCCTTTCTCCATTGGCTGGTTTCATTGCTGTTAGAAGACCCATTGGTTGTACGCCAGTGTATGTTCCGCCTCGACAGTGATCTTTGCTGACCGATACTCTACCATGAATGGATGATACGTAGTGACCGAACGACTGAAATACCTGGCCAGAATCACTGATTATGGTAGCCTGAAGTGTGACTTTGAAGTCAGAAGGCAGGCCTAAAACATTAATTTCTACCTTCTCATCGGAAAGTGAATCCAATGGGTTTACCTCGATCTGTTTGCTCTGTGCCATGATCGAATGGACTTTGTCTTGGGGATTTTCACAACACTGTACGTCACGCCAACGACTTTGTGTGATAACCTTTGCTTCTTCCGCATGCGTCAACACCGGGCTTCCTGTGCTAGTTTTATTTATTTATTTATTTTATTGAAATAATAATAATAATATCTTCAATCCTTAAAATACCAAATAAAAACGTTGTTATAACGTTGTATAGATCGATTTCACCCACTTAATCACTTGTTGGTTGGTGGACATATCACATTTCAAAATCACATGTGAATGTATGCAAGGTTGCGCCACATTCGATAGTTTATTCAGTTTTTTATGGATTTTAGCATAAAACTAAAAAATTGAACCATCTTTCTTTCAGATCATTAAAAAAATGGAATTTGTTTGAATTTTTTCATTGCAAAGAAAGTCTCAAATCTGATAACAAATTTGTCTTGATTCCCTTGGTCCAACTTACAGAAAATATGGAAGTTGGACTGATTATCATAGCAACGGTCATTGATAACCTTAAGTAGAGGTGAAACAACAAAACCTATGGGTCCATCCAGAGCCGTATTGGACCGATTTGTGATTGGCTAATAGTGGGAATGGAATCCTATGCTCAAGTAAGCAGCCTCTTTGTTTTGGGATGGACATGAAGACCAACAAAAGGGGAGGCTGCTGAGGAGAGTGCTGGGCTTGAAAACTTTGTGATTTATTAATGTTGGCACAGTAGCAAAGGAGTTCAAGCAAACAATACAGAATTGGTGAATTCAGTAACATTAATTGACTGTTTCAATTTACAGCAACACTTGGTGTTGAAGTCCACCCACTTGTGTTCTACACAAACAGAGGGCCTATCAGGTTCAATRTTTGGGACACTGCTGGCCAGGAAAAGTTTGGAGGATTACGAGATGGCTACTATATCCAGGGACAGTGGTCAATCATTATGTTTGAAGTCACATCAAGAGTAACATATAAGAATGTTCCTAACTGGCATCGCGATTTAATAAGAGTATGCGAGAATATTCCCATCGTGTTGTGTTGTAACAAGGTGGATATTTAAAAGACAGGAAAGTCAAAGCAAAAAGTATTACATTTCACAGAAAGAAAAATCTCCAGGTAATTATTTTTCCTACAGGTAGAATACCCAAAACATAGATTACCCAATTTCCCTATTGCATAATGAAGTCACAACTTGTTTACATTGGGAAATAAATGCACAGAAACACTGGAAATTAGTATTAATATTCTCACCTTTGTCTCAATAGTTCACCTTTATCTCAATACAATTTATCATTGATAGGCTCATGTAAATTTTTTTTTGATATACAGTCATTCTGTCATCCTCTGACAACCATAATCTGTTTCCCTTTAAAACAATATAATGTTTTAGTGTGACATAATAGCCGACTTGCGAATTACCCATCAATAGTCACATACAAAGGAATCAAGACGAGGCGCCGTGCTAAAGTCAATAGATTTTTCACAAAAAAGCACGGCGCCTCGTCTTGATTCCTTTGTATGTGACTATTGATGCGTAATTCGCAAGTCGGCTATTATGCCATAGGGCAATAAGAATAAATGTATGGTCTAGAGATTTATAAAATAACTTGGATACTATGCGCCGTTCTGATTGGCGCATGTAAACATGGTTTTGACGTTTTTCAAGTACTTGGAGTAGAATAGCGCAAAAAATCAGCTATTTAACAAAAAAAAATCCGAAAACTTACAACTAGTTAGGGAAGGTACGTTAATTATTTGKGGGGTGGGGTGGTGGTGTGGGAGAGGGGAGGGTCATATATCATTTTWGCAAGCTTTAGGGTTTAGGGGAGGGTCAAATCTTCACTCTAAAGCTTATCTAGGGGAGAGTCATCCAAGTTATTAGGTTTTAGCTAAGAAAAAAATGTTATACCATCGAGTCGATTTTTCATGGACMGATATACTGTCAGGGTTCTAGTGAGTACGCACGCTCCTTTCTCAATGAGTACTTYCGTACTTCTTGCGTCTATGTACCAGCAAAAGAAAACAATACTCTGAGTAAAAGTAAGCTAGCAAAAATTATATTTGTTGAAACCTCGAAATTTGACCTCAAACATTTATCTTTGAAATTGGTAATATTAGAAAACCAATCACATGACAAAAACCTCAGTAGAGCGAAATCAAAGCACGTCACGAAATCAAAGCACTACACGTTTGCATGTCCAGGAAATCGATTTGCGAATGATAAAAAGCAAATTACTTTCGAGCATTTTGAGAGTCATTTTTTAGGAAAAAGGAAAACAGGATGACTTTTTGCTTTGGATCAGTATCGACAACAATTAGAAAAAGATTATTGGAAATGCTGCAAAAATATGGGGAAACTCAGCACCTATCTGTGTGAACTCTTTTTTCATCAAACCTTTTGGTGGCTTGCTTTGCCCATCCTATTCATCATCATCATCATCAGTCGACCGTGGTCGAGATCATGGAGTTCACAACATTACGCCAAACCTCCCTGTCCATCATTGCCGTCAAATAACGTAAGCTA